ATCACAAAATCCCCCTTTAAATTTCAGATTTTATCAGAAAACCATCTTTAACTTTGAAATTTTAACAGAAAACACCCTTGAATCTCAAAGTTAAAGGGGTTTCTCAAAGACGTACCCCTAAACATAAAAGGGATTTTCTGATATTTTGGAAGTATAAGGGGGGTTTTATGATAATCGTCCAAAGTTAAGGGGGGTTTTATGATATCATTTTTTTTAAACTCTTACCAAAACAGTTCGAAGACCCAAAGCTTTGCCGGCGGCAATGTTCCTTTCACTATCATCTAAGAACAGCTAAACAAAAAGGAAAAAGAGAGAGCACTTCAAACGTTCAATCAACATCATTCCTACAAATTAAAAAGAAAACCCCAAAAAAAAAAATTATCCAGTACGGGTGGGATGACTTACAGTGTGATGAGGATCCGACCCGGCAAGTCGAATGGCAACCTCCACAGCAGAAAGGGATGGTTTCAGAATAACCTCAGTTGAGCTATTGTTGGTTTTGAATAGATGAGGATTTAGAGTCTCAAAGCAAATAATGCACTCAAAGATCTCCTCCTCAATGCCGAGTTTCTCTAAAACTTTCTTCGCATGTTTGCGGTCCGAATTCGTGAACATCTGATAACCAAAAAGATCCGAGTTCGTTAAGATCCGACCCAAATTATGTAAAAACTTATAAAAATAACATTTGTTTAAACAAGCTTACGATAAGCTTACGATTTTGGTCTGTGGCGTGCTGAGCAAGAGCTGTCTTAACTTTGGGTCGGGTCGGATGTTCTCATACGGCAACCTCCCGTGCACGAAACTGATGGCCAACAATAAATAAATAAATAAATGTAATGCATATTAATGATAAATTCACATATTTTCCAATTTTTGTGAATTGATCCAAATTGTAATTACAAATTTATTCATATTGGTCTTCACCTGTGATACTCATCCGGATGAACATCATGACCAAGTGCCTACAAAAATAAAATAAAATAAAATAAAAATCAGCAAATTTGTTGGCCAGAAATAGAAAAAAGGCAGTATTATAATTAATAATATAGATGAATATAAAAGTGACATTAACATACCAAGAGTCCAGCAAGAGTGCTGCCATAGGATCTAAAGTACTCAGCTCGAAGAAATGTTGCTCTTTCTTCACCCACACCAAATTTTCTAACAAGAAATTCTAAGAGGGAAGGAAAAATCAACACATAATTAAATCACAATAAATATCTAAAAAAAGTAAACACATGAATTAAATTAAGCAGTATTTACCTTCGATATTTCGCTTGCAGGCCTGCGCAATTCCAAGACCAGACGGATACAATGTGTCATCAAGATCTGCATGCAATTTAAATCTTCACATCTTTACTCAAAATATATATTAATATTGCAGTTCGAGAAATTACTTAGTTTTAATTTATATTTTTTAATGAAAAATGAAAATTAGAGTCGAATATGCAATTTTTTGTAATCCAACTCATCCAAGTTTATTATATAATAAATCCAATGAAGGAGAAGAAGCTTACCAAAGAGAAGGCAATCGAAGGGAGAAGAGATCTTGTTAAAGTCCATTTTGCAAAATATAAAGAGAAGGAGATGGGGTTAAGCTTGAGAATGAAAGCAACAAGAAGAAGAGAGGGAGAGCCAAGGTGTATTTATGATAGGAGGAATATATGTTAGGTACCAATTAATAAGCAACTAAGTTACAAACTTTATTAATTAAAATGGTTGATGACAATGAAGCACACCGACCATTTATACGTGTTTGACATGTAAAGGGAAACAAAACGCGTGGGAGGGATTAGATTGAGGAAGATGCCATGTTGCAAGAATCTGAAGCGGATATCTCAACAAAGTAAGATATCGGCTCTTCCTCTCATCAGTTCTAGGACTGACCTGTCGAGGGATCCTACAAGCTATTACAAATCACGGTAAGAACACAAATTTTACGTGGTTCGGCAAATTGCCTACGTCCACGGGGCAAGGAGGGGGAGATCTACTATTAGAGGGAGAGACACAACTAGGTTTACAATCTCACAACCTAAACCCTCTCACAAACTCTCAGATCCCTCACACAAATATTCTCTCAAAGAGATGCACAAATCAAAGAACAACTACAAAAAGACTTTGCTTCTTCTCTATGAATAGCCGCCAAAATCTTTGTCCTTTGCTAATTGCTGCAGCCTTTTTTCTTGCACAAATCAGCTGCAAATCCACCAATAAAGTCCTCTGCCGCTCTTCGTAGCCGCCAACAAATAGGAATCCTTCCTTGCACACGTCCCTAGGTCACACATGAAGATATATATATAGCATACAATCGGGTGGGCCATCAAAAGAACCAGCGGACAATTCTCCACTCACAATCGGGTGGGTCTACAGGTGTTCACGAGAACACCTCACAAGCAAGTTGTAAGTGGCCCCCACTCATCACGTGCTCACAATTCTCCACCTCGGTGAAGTTTCTTCCAAAACTGAGCCGTCACCAACCAAACCAAATGTCTCACTTGCTGCTTCTCAATCCTCAACAAGTCGAGACCCAAACGGGAGTGCAAACACTCACCCAAACGTCGGTATCTACTCACCAAATCGATCTCACCCCATCAAAATCAACTAATCCAAACCGGCTGCATCGTAAAGACTGCCTACGTATCCTCTTGCCCAAGGAATCAAGCCTCACGTAGTTCATCCAATGGCCTCAAAGGCCTCAACACCAAAGAATGTTCAAAAGTTCCAAACAATGATCAAACTTAACACCTGAAATAACTTTGGTCAACATATCTGCAGGGTTGTCCTTCGTGTGGATCTTCTCCAACATGACGTCTCCTTCATCCAAAACGTCACGAACAAAATAGAATTTGACATCATTGTGCTTCGTGCGCGCATGATAAACCTGGTTTTTCGCCAAATAGATAGCTGACATGCTATCACAATATACCCGAAGGGTCTCCTGTGCAATCCCCAAGTTCTCCAATAATCCCTGCAACCACAAAGCCTCCTTCACAGCTTCAGTCAACGCCATATACTCTGCCTCCGTAGTGGAGAGAGCCACTGTAGACTGAAGGGTGCATCTCCAACACACCGGTGCTCCTGCTAGTGTAAACACATATCCGCTAGTAGACCGGCGCTTGTCCAGATCCCCCGCATAATCAGAATCCACGTAACCAATACAATCCTGCTCGTTCTTCTCATTCTTCTGAAATACCAAACCAACATCCACGGTACCTTTGATATACCGTAGAATCCACTTCACGGCCTCCCAATGACCCTTCCCGGGGTCGTGCATGTACCTGGATACCATGCTCACGGCATGTGACAAATCTGACCTTGTACACACCATCGCATACATCAAGCTACCCACAACATTAGCATATGAAACTTTGGACATGTATTTCCGATCCTCAACTGAAACAAGTGACATCTTAGCTGATAGCTTAAAGTGGTGAGCTAATGGAGTACTCACCGTCTTGGCATTGCCATCATAACTGAATTTCTTCAGCATCTTTTGCAAGTAACTCCTCAGTGTTAACTTCAACCTCCCCTTCACCCTGTCTCTCTCGATCTCCATAACCAATATCTTCTTTACTTCTCCAAGATCCTTCATCTCAAATTCGGATGACAGCTCCTTTTTTAACTTTCTAATAGCTGAAGTATTCCTGGAAGCTATGAGCATATCGTCAACATATAACAGCAAATAGATATACTCACCATTCTGTAACTTGTGCATGTAAACACACGGGTCATATGGGCTCCTCGTGTACCATCGGCCAATCATAAAGCCGTCGAAACTCTTATACCATTGTCGCGGCGATTGCTTCAATCCGTAAAGAGACTTCTTCAGCTTGCATACTAATTCTTCCTTTCCTGCAGCTTTGAACCCCATAGGTTGTGTCATGTAGATCTCATCTTCTAAATCTCCATGTAGAAATGTTGTTTTCACATCCATCTGGACCAAATCCAAATCCAGTTGTGCCACCAATACCAATAAAATACGAATTGACGAATGTTTCACAACAGGTGAAAGTACCTCATTGTAATCAACGCCCTCTAGCTATGCATATCCCTTGGCAACCAATCTGGCTTTGAATCTAATTTCCCCAATAGAAGATCCCTCTTTCTTTGCATACACCCACTTACATCCAATAGCCTTCTTACCCTTCGGTAGCTTTGCAAGTTCCCAAGTGTCGTTCTTATGAAGAGACTGCATCTCTTCCTCCATGGCTTCCCTCCACCTATTCGAATCAGAGCTTGACTCTGCTTCCTTGAATGTAAAAGGAACCAAATTATCAACGACTTCTGCTGATAAAGCATATGCAACCATGACATCGTCATATCTAGCTGGCCGACGAATGTTTCTTCTTGGTCTATTAGCTACAATGGACTCCTGAACATGACCATGTTCCTGAGTCTCAACATCCACTGTATCCTCTAAATGCCCAGCTGTCATTCCATCTCCTTCCAGTGTCACTTCTGTATGAGCCTCAATGGATACAATACTATCTGGAGTGGGTGGAGTCACATCATCCTCCACCTGTTGTGATATCCCAACTGTCTGGTCTTCCTCCACCTGCTGAGGAACTTGAGGCTTCATCATGTACGCCTCATCAAATGTGACATTCCTACTAATAACTATCTTATTGTCCTGTGGATCCCATAATTTGAAGCCTTTAACTCCATCTCTAAATCCCACAAAGACTGTTTTCCTCGCTCTCGGATTCAATTTACCATCACTGACATGGTAATAAGCTGGACACCCAAATATCCGAAGTGACTCATAGTCACTAGCTACCGAACCAGACCAACGCTCCAATGGAGTCTTCCCCTGTATCGCAGTGCACGGCAACCTATTCACGAGATGGCTCGCATAAACCAATGCCTCGACCCAAAAGGATCTAGGCAATCCACTTTGCGTCATCATACATCGTACCTTCTCCAGCAAGGTACGGTTCAATCTCTCAGCCACCCCGTTCTGTTGCGGTGTCTCTCGAACTGTGAAGTGTCGCCTAATACCATGATCCTGGTAAAACTACAAAAATGAATCACTCTTATACTCTCCACCGTTATCTAAACGTAGAGTCTTCACTTTTCTACCTGTCTGCAGCTCCACTTTCTTTTTCCACTCCACAAAAATATCTAGGACCTGGTGTTTATGCTTCATCGGGTATACCCAATTCCTCCTGGAATAGTCATCAATAAAAGTGACAAAATAGTTAGCCCCACCAAGTGATGTGTGCTTGGAAGGGCCCTAAACATCTGTGTGAATATAGTCTAATATACCTTAGGTATTGTGAATAGCAGTGCCGAATTTCACTCTTGTCTTCTTCCCAAGTATGCAATGTTCACACAGCTCCATCTTGCAGGTCTTCGCACCCTTCAATAGCCCCTGCTTCGCCAATACCTGCAGGGACTTATCACCAGTGTGTCCTAATCTCATATGCCATAAGCTGGTAGCATCTTCCTCTGTGGTAATAGAAGCTGCCAGACCCCCTGTTACTGTCTTGCCCTTCAAGTAGTAAAGGTTGTTTTCCCTGACACCTCGCATCAACACCATGGACCCCTTTGTGACCTTCAGAGTCGTATTCTCCAAGATCACCTTATAGCCAGCTGCCTCCAAAGTTCCAAGCGAAATGATATTCTTCGTCAATTGAGGAACGAATCTCACTTCCTTCAGCTCCCGAGTCACCCCGTCACACATCCGGATCCGTACTGTACCAATACCACCAATAGAACATACGTGATCATTACCCATGAGCACGACATCCCCTCTTTCCAACTTCTCAAAGCTGGAGAACCAATCCCTCCTAGGGCAAATATGGTATGTAGCACCAGAATCCATCATCCACTCCGTAGAGTCAGCGTAACAAACTGACGGTAATGCAGAGCAAGAATAGCCTGAAGAATCCGTATCTGAATTGTCATCACTAGCCTTGACAACATTCACTTCCGAAGCTTGTACAGCTTTCCCTTTATTCTTCCCAGCTTTGTCTTTCAACTTTGGGCAGTCGTTCTTCCAATGTCCTTCTTCTTTGCAAAAGCGACATTGATTCCTACCAATATTTCTATGGCCACCTCTTGACTTCGATCTTGAGCGATCACCTAGACGACGATTTGGACCACGGCCTCGAACTGCTAATGCATCTCCCGATGCCTTCTCGGAGGGTTCGCCATCACTCTTCCTCAACTCATAATTCACCAAAGCTGAGGTCACCTCCTTGTAGCTAACCGTAGTTCTTCCATTTATCATAGTGAGAACAAACGTACCAAAATCATCCTCCGGCAACGAACACAATAGTAGCATCGCCTTGTCTTCATCCTCAACCATGATGTTTGAGTCAAAAGTCGGTTCTGTTGAGGAATTCATTATAACTTTGTTTGATTACAACAAATTCGAAAGAATAATCTTTTTATAAGACTTTTTCTACACAACAAAATAAAAATTACAACTCTTGAGAAACAAACACAAAAATCGTCTATCGATCTTTGTTTTCGTGGGACTTTGCCTGTGCCGGGAACGCTTTGGTTCGTGGACCGCCGATTCACAGATCGTGAAGAGGGGGCTTATGATTCTAACTTCGTTATCGAAGTAGAAATTGAAACGATATCTTATCGAAGTAAGATAGTCGTTCTTCTTAAAATCAAGTCAAAGCTTAATTTCAAGGCGTTGCAAGAAA